CAATGGCCAGGCTCAGTTCAAATGTCTGAACTATATTCATCGGTGAATAGGGGCTCAGGGGCCTATGGCCCAACACAGGTTAGGAGCCTTGGGACACCAGTTCAAAGGAGAATTTGGCCAGTAAGTACTGTCCTCGTTTCTGTTGGGAATGAAGAACAGATTGCAAACCTAATAATGGCTACTCAGTGAATCAGCCACAGTGTATTAACCATGCTCCTAGCTTCTGTCAACTTGATGCTTTGACATCTGTTCTGCATGCTTATGCTGGACATGCCTTAGTCTGAGAAACTGATAATATGCCTGAGTTAGCGTGTCTCGGCCACCTGCTGTCCACCGCCTCAGGGAGGAGTCCTCCTGGAACAAGCTTTGCATTTTGAAATACAAACTAACCAATCCAAAGCCCCTTCCCTTACTGAGCTCCCTCGGTCTGGGCTACTCTACACCTGCCCTAACCACTGCAAGATCCAGTGCCAGACGACTAGAGGCAGTCCCTACTTCCAAAACGCAGAAATTATTCCAAGTGGCCAATGCGAAACCTGCTTACCCTGCCTTGCCTGGTCCTTCTCAAAGAAGCCAAAATAGAAGTACTGTCCTGATCCCACCACCTCTCTGCCTTGTGGTGGGTCCCCGTGCTTCCCCATCTCAGCCCACCATGATGAGACATGTACTCTCTTGGGATCTGTGAGTATAATGAACTGTCTTTTCAATGCCAGTCATCTCCTGACGTGTTGGCCTTACCATCGCTAAACAATAATACAGCCTCTTGAAACACACAGGGCTAACTGAGGACTGTGGACTACCTAATTCCCTCTGAGGCTATGCGTTCTCTCTCCACCTGGCTATATCTGTGGGCCTTTAAACACCTTGTAAGTTTCATGGCAACAAAAAATTCTATAATGTGCTATTTTATTTAATTTCCTCATATGCTCTTATAGTTATCAGTAATTCTCCTCTCTTTATTATTCTGGCCTTGGTTTCCCTCCCCTCTAATTTTTTATAGGCTAGTTCAGGCCAAATTTTCAGTATTGCAGCCCTAAGGTGTCAAAAAATTATCAGCGTCTTCATTTTGTATAATATATGATCAGTGGTTGTTATTATACAGGTCTTCTATTTATAACAAAAAAGTGTATTTATTATAAATGGAATATCCCAAAATATTTGGACAGAATGGTTAAGACCATGGATTTGGAGTCATTCTTCCATCTAGAAAAGTATATGTTGATCAGCTGCTCTTTGCCAGGTACTGTGTGATGTGGTGGAGATATGCTGACGGGCAAAATAACAGACACCAACTCTATTCTATGGTGAAATTTGCTAGGTGAAGAGGACACACATATATCAATGAACTTACCAGAGATATAAATGCATAACTGCAAACTGTGATAAGTACCGGGGAGGCATGATACAAGTTGCTATAAGAACTCCTTTTGGGGTTTCTGGCCTATTCCCAGGGGTCAAAGGGACTTGTCTAAGAGACCTGAGGTCTGAGGATAATTATCAAGTTCATTAGGGAGAGGAAGGCTAAAAAGAGCAACCCAGTCAAAAAGAACAGAAAGGTCCCAGGGTAGAAGGCATCATGATATGTTCAAGGAAGGGAAATTGGCACCTGGTAAGAACAGAAAGCCAGGCAGAGATCAGGGTCAGATCACAGAAGTCATTTTAAGGGTATGAACCTGACCATAAGGACAATGAGAAGCCATTATCTAAAACAAACAAACAAACAAACACCATGGTTTGAATTCCAGCTCTTCTCCTTTTCGCTATAGAACTTTGGGTTGTCATTTAATCTATCTCAAGTCACTTTTGACCTCAGGGCTTTCTCGGAGTCTTTCTCAGTCAGCTTAAGAGACAAATCAACTGCAAAATCAATCCAGAAATGAAATCATCATATATTTGAAAGTCTACCAAGTGGGTAAGGGCAGAAGCAGGGTGGCATAGCTACCTATAGGACTCCCATGGCCTTTCTCACTTTTGACATCTCTAAAACGGAACTAATTTCCGTTTCTCTGAAAACCTACATGCACCTCCCACCATTTTTCCTACCTCAGTGAATGGTATAATCAATGCTTCAATCGCATAAACTGACAGCTGGGCAGGCAGCCTGAACCTCTCCATCTTCCTCAGTCCTATGACTAATTACCTGCAAATCCTACCGATTGTTCCTGGGACGCCTCTGGTGAATCCCTCCCTCTTTCCTGCCACTTCTGCCCAGTTCAGGCCCTCAATCCCTTGCCAGGCAATTACCATCACCTTCCAAGAGAGCTCTACAGCTCACAGATTGCACCTCAAATTCACCCTTCCATTAGCTTTATAAAACAGAGATCAAGTTCTGCTGCTTTAAAGCCCTAATAGCTGCCCCTTGTGGCTCCTCCCCAACTCTCATTCCTACTTCCCCCAATGCTCTCCTAGAGAATAAAGTTGAAGCTTCAGTCACCCTTTGCCTTATCTCTTGAACCTGTTTCCTGCTAGCTCCTACCCACACACATTCTGCACACAGATGACCAAAAAAAAAAACTGCTCGCACATGTGTAAGATGCACCATGCACGTCTCCAAAGAC